CTCGTTCTCGGCGAATTTCGGAGCAGTACTGGAAAATATGCTAGCGGCTTTACTGGTTTGCAGCGCTGACCTGGATGTGGACAGTATGGTTGGATCTAAAATCATTACTGCTTACGCAAACAAGAATGCGGCAACATTGAAGTTTGTGAAACTCATATTCTTTGAAGTTTGGGGATCTCTTTTGTGGATGTCTTATTCCTTGAAGTTTGTGGATCTCTTTTTCTAAGAGTTGTTGAAGGGGCGTTGTTACAGCGACGAATTTGTCCGCTACGTTCAGGAAGGAGTGAATGGAGAGGCGCCCCAGTAGCATTTCTTTGCGACCAAAGATCGTTCATATTTGAAGGTTAAAAAACGAAAAGCAGGTTAATGAAAGAGTGCAGTTTTTTTGAGCAAAGAAGCAAAAAAAATAAATAAATAAATTCATTAAGAAAGATGTAATACTTAGCGAGAATGGTGTTAGATGCGGATCCAGTCAGAAAGGAAAATTTGTTTTAAAAAATGAAATATTCAGCGGGAAAGCGTTAAATCAGCTGGTGACTACTGCATTTTATCAAAACTTCGAAGAAAATTGGGTATGGGAATATACGTTGATGTTAGAGTGCTAAAAGAAATAGCAAAAAAAAAGTAACGCAAAAAAAAAAAACATAGATGAGTCGCTGTGTTTAATATGAAAGGTTAAAATTTGAGTATGCATTTGCTTTGCGGTAAAATTTATCTACCCTGCAGATTTTAATGCACAACAACCAAGCATACATGTGCGTTTTCTGTGAACTTCTGATAAGCGCTCGTGGAAGAGAATTTAAATTTTTCGTGAAACTGAATTTGTTGAAGATGGTGCAACTGAATTTTTCATAAATCTCGAGCATCTTCTCGCCGTGCTATCCTGGACCATTTCCCATAACTGCCTCATTTTTTTGATGCATTTTGCTGCATTGTCGGATCCTAGGAAGAGGAGGCGATGGACCTTTTGGCGCAGGTAGCAGTGCTAAAACTGAAGGAGACTCTCTTCAGCACCCCAGGTCGCCCCCCTCCCCCCGTCTGCCTCAGGAGCCTTACTGTCCTCTCTTCCCTTCTCTCACTTCCCCGGTCGTCCCCATATTAGTAGGTCCACTTCTCTCCCTCCCCTTTCCAGGCCATCGCCCCACCGGAAGACCCACTTCCTCCCTCTTCAGTAGTCGCTATACCAGAAGTCCCCCTTCTTCCCCTCTCCCCCTCAGGAGACCGTCCTAGATCCGCCTATGTTTTAGTGAACAGCATACGTCGGTTGTGCTCCGGGTACTCACTTTAGTGCCACGGTGCGTTGAAGGAACTGAATCA